ATACTGTAAATAAGAGATTTTCAAAAGTTAACAAAAAGATTAAAAATGACTTTGCCAGTGCCTCAGCTTAAAGAAAAAAAGATCCTAAACAGTGGCTTTTTGGCTCTGGCACAAATCAAAAACCTGAGTTCATTTAAGAATTACATATTTGCCAGTGTCAAATTAAATACTGTACAAATCATTTTCCTTTTTTTTTTGCTCAGTGCATGATGGCAGTATTGAGACAGTGACTGCATTCCGTGAGACTTTGTAAGTCAAGGAAATTAAAAGTAATTAACATGCCTTGCAATCTTTAGAGGACAGGAAATCATATGTTCATCTATCTTGCTGCAGTATAAATCATGTTGGAGCCTATGGCATCACAGCAAATTATTCTGATTCAGTCCTATTTAACCGGTGACTACTTAATGCCCAAAAATACTTTTTTTTCTTTTTCTGATTGAATTTCTTGGGTTTGCAGATTTACTGGAAGCACAAAACCTACTGTCAATGATGTCTGAATTAAATCAAATTATATTACATTCAGGAGATATTGAGATTTATGAATACTGTCAAGATACCATCTTATTCCAAATGTTATGATTTATATGAATTAAAGTAGTTTCTCTAATCAAAAGCAGGAAAAAAACCCCCTATTGAAATGTACAACTTGATATAAGGTTTCTGAGTGGGTTTGCACATCATACTGAACCAGAGAGACTGACAATATAAAATTCCAGGAGCAAACAATTTGTCTTTATCATTGTGTTTCATATATTGTAAACTGCTTTGAGATATATTTTCACAAGAAGGATTACAAGACTACATCATATAAATAAATAATTCCTCTAAAGCATCGTGACAGTTCCCAAATCTAACACTTCAAAAGGAAAACTGATCCTTTTGTGTATGTACATACATACATACACATACATACACACATAATACACAGACACATACATGTAAATGCATATTATAGAGGACCTATTCTAAATTCATCCCAGGAACCACATAAAATTGAACAAAGGTATCGCTGTCTAGGAGCTCCTGCCTGCTCCTGCACTTGAAGTGCTCAATATTTGAGTTCACACTGTACAGTTATATACAACTCTAGGACTTTGGATATACAGAGGAAGAACATGCTACGATACAATAAAATAAAATAAAAAAAGGTGCCCATGTTGTTCCTCTCTTTTGCAACCCCCAATGATACTTCGATTGTTCTTGTCCCAGGCTGGTTGACATTCTAAACAGAGCAGTTATTTTGAAATACAGGTAGTCCCTGGGTTAAAAATGCCCGGGTTACAGATGACCCATAGTTAAGAACGGAGTCTGTTGTAGCAAAATTTGAGCTAAATACACAATGATTTGAGTTAAACATACAATGGTTCGAGTTAATTACACAATACTACTTATACAATATTATAAAATAATCCTGTTCCAGCTTTTATACAAATTTGACTTCAGGACAGATCTTGGGAACAGAACTTGTTCTTAAACTGGGAACTACCTGTAGAGAGTAAGGTAAAATATAATCCTATATATGAGTTGCTTATCAATTATCTGTAACAAATACCTCTGCCTCATAGTGTATCTATAATTTGGTGAACTATTTTATAGTGCTTATTTAGCTCAGATCATAGATGGATTTACAGACAACAGGATTTCGTAGGGCTGTGCAATGCTTCAGACTTGGATGTAGCTATTTTTTTTTTTTTTAAAGTCATGATGGGTGTTGGCTTCACATTACCATACATTCCAAAATATCTTTTTGGAATTGAATCTGGAACATGGCATAGTTCCAATACCTAAACTATGTAAGAATATTGCCAAATGGCTAATTTCAGAAAGCAGATCAACTAAAATGCAAGTTGTAAATAAAAATGCAGACTTTTTTTTTTTTAAAAAACTACTCTATTAAAGCAAAAACAACAAAACTTTGCAACAATGCCTGGATTGGTTTGAATGGAGGACCAAGGTAAACAAGACACAACACAAAGGATCTAATGCAACTTTTGTGATTGAACAGCCATTACCTAGAATAAACCTGCAGCACTCCCAAAGGTTCAGAATATACTGACTAATCAAAGAAAATGTACTATTATTCAAACTGCTTTTAAAAATATCAATCATACCTTATACATACTGCCTTCTAGGCAGTATGTATTTTACTATATTTTAACATTCAAATGTTTTTCAAACACATGGAAAGTCAACAGTCATATTCCACCACTCTTTAACTATTTTATCTGAAGAACCTAACACTGAGGGAAATCCAACCATGTGAACAGATATTTCCCCATCCAGCAGGACTTTTCCCTTCATCCACTTCCTAGATGTGCTCTGGATGATTTCCCAGCAGGTTTTGAGTGCACAAGGCGGATAGCATGAGCAAATGAAAACTGCCTCTGCACCATTTACTGATGTAATACTAACCGTATATAACTCATAAAGTTTACACCATGAGATATTCATAACTCTTAAAATTATTATGTAACATTGACATAGAAAGACATACCATAGGCCTTCAATCAAAGAATTTGGTTTTCTTTTGTATTAAAATAAACATAAACTGAGAATAGGAAAATACAAAGTTTTCCTGCAAAAGGTTTTGCATAGTTTAGGCTAAATTCCAATTGTATCAACAACTGAGTTCACTGAAAAGAGGCCTTTTCCTGTACTTTAAGTGGAACTTTTTTGATCTTTCAGAGGCAACTTCTACCTTCTTGAAATGCATGCTCCATTTTTTTTCTTAATAAACTGTTCAACTATAAAAATAACAGCCTTCCTTTTAAAAACTGTTTCATAGCTAAGATGCTGACTTAAAGAATCTAAAGTAGAAACATGTGTGGAATAGGTTAGTGGTATAAAACTGATTTGCCTACCTACCCAACACAAAACAATATACAAGAAAATAGAAAAATAATTGGTAATGAGAGTTATTGATAATTATATCAAATGGCAGTCACCTGCTGATATATTTAAGTCTGCAGGCAACAAATTTGGGAGTTGTCAGAGAGGAAAAGGAAATCATTAAAAAAACCCTTTAATTTGTTATCCTCCTACTGGTAGACAGATATCATTGGGTATAAACTTTACTGTTAACTTCTAGGTGCCCAGTATAACGCTTCTACTTCAGTAGATCTTAAGTGCTCTAAAGTCCTATCTAAAAATAGTTATTAAAAGAAATAATTTTTATAGTTGCTGACTAGGTTTTGATAAGAAAAACAAGCTTATGTATTAATGTCTCACATTATTTTCAGGAGGTCTAATCTTCATACTGAAGCAGAGGAACTATATGTCAGGAAATGTTCTTGCCACTTCAACTAGAATTCCTGGGAAAGTTTTTGGAAATATGTATTTAAACAAAAGGTTATACTTGTTGCTATTTGAACTATAAAATCATAATAGCAACCTGCTATTGAGGGAATTAAAAGAATTAAATTGTAAAAAGTGCTCACTGAAGTAAGAGTGAGAGATTCATGATGATAAATTCTGTTTTGATAAGAGAGGTACCTGAGGACTTCTGCATTTCAAAGTATGTGCTTTTGTTTTAAAATCTTTAAAAAGTATTGAAGTGGAATCTATGACCAAACTAATCTTCTTGACTGTTAACTGTGCCATGGCTGATACCACAGAAAATGAACATTTATGGTTAACACATTAGGATATATCTCCTAGCACTAATTAGAGCTACATCAGTAAGAAGAGTTGAAGCAAGGCTGATTAACTAATAGACTTATGATAAACATGAGTAATAGAACTGCTAATGGATTTCTATCCCATCCCCATTATTACTTGAAAGTAAATCCTACTGCTTACATCAACTTAAGTGTGTTTTGATCCCTGGCTTAGAATAAAGGATGACAATAGTGAAAAATCTAGCCACTAGAGGGGCAAGTGGGTGCAAGGAGCATCCATTTCTGGACTGCATAAGAATTTCTGGACCATTTCCCACCAAACAGGCTTTTAAGCCCCGCAAGCCCAGCATCACTGACAGATCTTTGGTGAGGAGAAGGACGAAAGAGAGCAAGAGACTGAAACAATGCAGACAAGACAGAAGGAAATACAACTTCTCCCATTAAATTAAATGAAGCTCGCGTGGCCAAACTGCCAAATTCAGCAACGCCCTGCTTAAATGAATAAATCCGAAGGGAAGGCAAGGAGGCTAGATGGCAAGAGGCGCGTTAAGGGCGTGAGCTGCCCGTTCCCCAATCCGGAGATAAAGCCGCTTGCTCTCTTTAGTCTCCCTGAAGGCAGCCTCACTGAGTTTGCCCCGAGCGCGGCTAGGAAAATGGAGGCAATTCAATCTTCTAATTCTGGAGTTTTAGCTCTCGCTCCATCCCCATATAACTCACATCTTACGCAGTAGGAAGCAGAACACCTCTCCGGCCACCTGAAAGCTGTTAAATGAATAAGGCCAGCCCCGCGAACTTTTTTCCCCGAACCCAAGTATAGAGATTCTGATGTCGCACAGCACATGTATGCTGCACCAAAATAAGGAAACCCGGAAAAAAGAGAGGATTCCTCCCTCCTCCAGAGGATCCCACGCAGATCTCTCCTCCACATAAGCCTTGCCAAAATATTTACCGCGCCATCCCGGATCTCTTTTCAGCGTTCTCCTAAAATGGGCAGGCTGGACGGGGCGAGCTCTCGCGCCAGCTTCAGACGCAAGACACTCCCTTCTCCGCGCGTCGACGGCCCGTGGCCGCTCTATCCAAAGCCCGCGCGCTCCGCTCCAAGCGTGAATCTCCCCGGGAAAGAGGCTTGCACGTTCACTGGCCGCCTCCGGGAAGTGAACAGAGAAGTCACAGAAGGAACGCGGGCGCGTCTCCCCGGCACATTCTCGGAGTTCCCCTCCTCGGCTAGCCTAGTTCTTCTGAATCAGCCCCCAACTTCGGGGTCAGTTGCACGAGAAAATAGCAGAAACGTTCCCCGAGCTGGGGCAGCCGGTTGGCGAGCCCCTCTGCTCCGGAGAAAGACAGCCACCGCACATCGCAACCACCTCCAGCGGGACCTACCTTCCTGCCGCCCCGTACCTCAGCTCCGGACTCTGCCTTCTATCGCTCCAGCAAAACGACGAGCTGCACGCGAAGGATCCTGCCACGAAGCTCTGGCAAAAGAAAAAAAAATCGGACCCACGAGCCCAAGAAAAAAACTCTGCCTCTCCTCCTCCTCCTCCTCCCCGCTCCTCTAAAGCACTTGGCTCGAGCGGCTCTTACTGCTCTTTCTCTGCCAGCAGAGCGGGGCTACCCAGCTGTGAGCCAGCGGTGGGAGAGGAGCGCCACGTGCCTGCGCGGAGCCAATGGAAAGAGGCAGCCGCGGAACCTTCCTAGTTCTCCCCTCCTTCTGTGCCGTCCCATGTGATCACCGCGAGAGCTTAAGTTCAGGTTTGGGCACCGTCCTGCAGGAGGAAACTGCGAGGATAAGGTGTGGGATGAGTTGGCAGTTCTACGGAGCTGTTGCTCGTGGCGTCTCCTCACGAGCGAGAATGCCACTGGGAACAAGAAGTGAGGTGGAAAAGCTGATGAATATAGGGAAAAATGCGCGCTGGTGGGTTAACAAAGGGAGGGAAGAAGTGGAGCAGTCTTCCTCAAACTGGTGCCCTTCAGATAAGCTAGATTACCAACTTTGGTGATTTCCAGTCTGTGATCAAAACTGGCTGGGAATTATGGAAGTTGTGGTCCACCACACCTGGTGGACACTAGATTGTTGGGGAATGCTGAAGTCATTTGGCATTATTCAAAGTTATGTAGGAGTTTCTGGAGGTCTGGGTTTGTGCCTTATCGTCTATCTTTAATTTACTTAAAAACAAGGGTGTATAAAGATTGCAGTTCTACTATTGCAAGGCACCTTGAAGTGCTCCTCCCTCCCTATCAAGTGTGCATTGTAATGGAGTAGCTCCTTACTCTGTCCACCAACTGGACTGGCAAGATTCTTCTGTGATGGGGGCATGTTGGGCAATTTTAATTGTAGGTGGAAAGAAGAGAATGCTGGTGTGAGAATCAAAAATACATGACTTTTTATACTTGCAAGTAGCTTTAAATAAAACAACTTTTTGGGCATGATTTACACAATATAATTTGGTTTGTATTTATGTTACCAACAATTAAGCAAGATTTCAAATTCTGGTTGGTGCTGATAATGGTTGCTGTTCCAGTTTCATGCAACACACAAAAGCTTATGTAAACCGACAGTAGTAAAATTATAGGCAGTTGGACAGTCTTCAGATGGTGATTCTGTTAATCATCCAGTACTTGGCATGTCATAGAAACATGTTCAATATTATAGTTTTTCAGAAAACTCTGAAAAGATTGTTTAGTAATAGCAGAAATGCAGGCCTGCCCAATTGTCCAATGTTTGCTGCCTACTGAGATTAAATAGTTTTTTTCTGATTCTCATGTATCTGAGAATCAGCTCTGTATTTTATTGTTCATAAAAATGTAGCCTGTGAAAATTGTATCCTAGGAAATGAACTAAGTTATTAACCCATTAACTAAAGAGTAAAATATTTCATATAAGGGATGTATCCTTAAATAAAATATAAAGATAAAATAACATCTAGAAATAATTCAGAATGGCTTACAATGAATAAAAATTACAGGGGGAACAAGTTAAAACAGCATTAAATGCTACTATTCTAAAGAGGAAAAGTCAACTTGCAGGGGGAAAAAAACCTACAAGCCAGCATAAAAGCAATATGCATAGGTAAAATGTGTCAAAAGACTGGGGAAACTTAAAAAAAAATACTTGCCTGACATCAAAATGCAGAAAAGCAATTCCAAGTTCCTAAGGAACATATTCATAGGGTACCAAACTAAGTCAGCTGAATTCTGCCACACCTCAAACAGAAATAACCTATTAAGACTTGACTTGCTGCAAATCAGTTTAGTTAGGTTCTGTACATGCAGGTGTATGTATGTAGGGAAATGTCCTGCACTTTTAAATATAGCTGTTGCCCAAAAAACTATTGCAATTTAATGTGATAATCTCTTTAGTGCTATAACTTTAGACCAGGTTTTCTTAACCTCAGCAACTTTAAGATGT